TTTTTTTTTTTTTTACTGGAGGTGCACAGCCCAAAGGCATTAGGAAATTATTATGCTTTGAATTTACATAGATAAACAGATTATAATACCAATTTAAACATACATATGCTCCCCTTGCTTTTCACAGGACATTTCACCCATCTGAAGAGTACTCTTTACTCACAACATAAGCAAGTAAGCTTTCACCAGGACTTTAACTATATCATTTTACATTTTTAATCTTATAGCTTTGTCAGTTAAGATTTGAAATAATGAATGTCTATTAATTTATTCTTCACCCTTGGCTATTTAAACTCTAGCCTTTGAATCCTATACAGGAATTAATTTGTTTTCCTGAGTATCAAGCCCCAGAGCTGTGAGAAAGGATTGAAAAGGAAACAGATGTTCACATTTGCATATGGGCAGCCTACACCCATTTACCCAACCAACAATGTGGCAGTTGCTTCACATCTCATTTTTTGTTATAACCTTGTTTTATAAATGGTCAGCATGTCTTCAATGTCTTTTCAAAGGACAGTTTTTGGGTGTTTTTGGATTTCTGTTATTCTTATCTGTTATGCACGGTGTCACAAGGGAATATAACAAATGTAAATAAAATAAATGTGGTCTCTCTCTCATTCTCTCTCGAAAAACATTGTTTTCGCTGCCTGAGCACATAGTCATGTTTTTTTTCCTAATAATACTCCGATTAATCAAAAAGAATCAAGCACACTGCATAATGAAGCAAAGACGTTAATGTGATATTAGCATATAATTGCACTGTTCTTTAAAAAGATATTGCAGACTCAGGGGATAAACATTGAGGATTGATGACTTCATAATAGTGACTCTTTCACCTTACTGAAATCTCATCTGACAAAAACATCTGCGTGAGATTTAAGTGTAGAAATCTCACATGGACGCTTTGGCTTGCTATGTGTAGATAATATGCATAAGGAAATTTTAGTAATATACTTTTTTATAAGTATAGAAAAATATATCTTTTTTTTTGCTTGGGAAGAGCAGGTTAGAATATTTCATTCACCAAAAATTCTTTTGACACAGATAAGAAAGACTGGAATCCAAACGATCTTGGGTTTAGTTCTTCAAATCCAAAACCTTGGGGGTGAGGTCTGATAGGAAGGGAAGAAACCTCAAAGCTTTCAGAACAGTGCAAGTAAAAAGGAAATGGGAATGAATCTGAATTGTAGACGCATTTGTATAGGATTCTAGTTCTGCAACTACATAACTTGATTGGCAAAGTTCTACAGCATTAAGACAACCTTGTTCTTTCTCTCATTTGATAATGATTTGGAACGGCTACCAATACTGTCATGTTACTATTCTATCAGCTTCTGGCAGCCTGAATGGAATTTGGTCCAAAGTGCCTTTCAGAAGAAGGGGATTTTAACGTACTCTACATAAAGAAAGAATTCACTGACTGGTGGATAGGCTACAATATTTTTTGCCACAGGGGCACTGCACCATTTAGAAAAGTGAAATAAATTAAATACATGTACCTTTATCTAATCATCACCATTCACAGGTATTAAATTAACAAGGCAGCTGGTGAGGACCAGATCTGGAACAGTGTCACAGATTATACTATTCATACTTTGAAAGGACCAATGAGACTTTAGGCTGGAAAATAGGAATTATCCTATAGTTATATTAAAGCATGAAGGTCATTTTAAAAGTACCTTTAAATATCTTATACGTTAGGAGGCTTATAGGACCCACCAACATTTTAAAGATGGAATTGCAAGATAAGCAAATACAGGAGCCATTTTAATCTGCATACAGTTGTGATATTCAAGGCAGTATTTGACTGAAAAAGAAACGCTAAATGAAATATAAGATTTTACTTGTGTGAAAAAGAGGTGGGTCGGTCTATTACCTCATACAGCCTATACTTATTTATGACTTTGAAATGTTAAAGTAAAACAGAAAGCAGAATATTAATGTCATATGCCCAGTTGCAAAGATATAGATAATTACATGCATACAAGGCAATTGGAAAATCAGGTCTGTGACTTAATTCTTTTCCATAACTGCAATTAGAGCTGTTATGCAGTGTTTGTGGGTTCATACCCTATGGACAGGGACAGTACCTATCCTATAGTCCTCTCATGCTATGCTGTGTGTCAACCAATATCCTGGGGCAAAATTGGAATTCAAAAAACTGTTTAGCCTAGATAGAAGAGCTGCAGTAATTGCTCCAGTGAAATGTAACTGAAAGTCAAATTTGTAAAATCTTGACTTTTTTAAGCTTTATCCAAATAGCAGCACTCACAGGGTGAATTTACTCAACAGGTGGCTATTTGCTATATTCATAAGTATGCAAACATTTCAGGTTTTGCATAGCTATAATCACAGTTTGAGCACTGCTAGATTTGGGAATGTTGATGTTTTGTTACTTTTAGAAACCATTTTATGACATTTTAAATTAACAAACAAACAAAGCAAAAGGAAATGAAGAATTAAGAAAACAAGCTGCAGCTCTGTTTTCTATTTTTGAGGATTCACTGAAAGCGAAGTATCTACATTTAATAAATGATGCATGGCACACATTATAATCTGTATAGAAAATATGTACAGGAAAATTAATTATGTACTATTTTAAAAGCAATGGCCAGAAAGCTGACAAATGATCAAAATTGTCTTTCACTATCTTGTGACATTAATTCTAATTTTTTGGTACCTATATTCAATACAAAGCATTTTAGATAACTGTGATATAAGTGCATGCCTATTATTGAGAGACAGTTTCCTCTATTCCCTACTTACCAGTACTAACTTATTAATATCCCTGGTTACCATCACTATGAATTTAGGCTACTATCATTATGCAGCTATAAATCTTAGTACCATGACAGGTATTGAACTGTGACCCTCTTGGATACTGGGGGAAAAGTGAATTATAAAACCCAAACTAAAAATGGAAGGAAACGCAGAAAACACAAGAAATTCATACTTTTTCTTCATGTGTACCTGAATGTATATCAGAGTACTGGTCTGAAAGTCTTACTTTCATTGCTACATTGTTTCAAAACCTGGGAAAAATCCTTCTGGAGTTTTAGAAAAGAAGCAAGACATGCAAAACTGTGAAGTGGGATGGCATACTTCTGAGGACTAATGACAAGAGAACCTTTAATTAAGTTTATAATTGCTCTATTTAGGACTTAAAAATACTTCAACAATTGGGCTCAAAGTTTGTTTTTACTGCATTTACTTTAGAGACAGGCAAATACTATACAAAGTGTAAAATTGTAAATGTACTGGAGACAGATAAGGGTTTTCTTTCATTGAATTCACTAGGCTTTGAATCAGTAAGTTTTATATATATAGTTACCCTCCAAATCGGTCTGTCTTAAACAGGTCAGCTATTTCATGGCTGTTAATCCTTCTTTCCTGAATTAAATGTTTCTGTAATAAACCTTTTTATACATAGTAAATTGTGACATAATAAAGATATATTATTATGTATTTATATTCTATATAAATATAATGCATATGTATAAATATTAACAGCAAAATACAACATCCTCATGACTAGAAACATTTTCCTGACTTTTTTCCACTTGATACTTTTTTTTTGCAACTTGAAACATTTTAGGTATTTCGTACAGAAAAAAAAATACAAATTATGGAACTCTATTCATCTCCTGTATGTCAATTCAAAATTGGGAGGCTTCCAAGCCAGACAGAGCCACAGATTTGAAATTTCAAAATCAAACATTCCCATGCAACTTTATTTGGCCTAATATTTCTTTATTTTTATTTCTTTCTTTATTTTTATTAAACTTATTTAAAAGCTAGTTCAGTAGCTGACTCCTTTTTTGAATTAACAAGAAAAGCACATTGTCAGTTTGCTTATAATTTGAAGAGTATTCACATTTTCAGCAAGGACAGTGGGTTGAGGGGGTCATCAGGGAGATAAGGACTCCTACTTCAAAACGACGACTAACATACATTGGTTTAGTTTTCATTAAGGATTATTGTGAACATATGAAAAATGGTCTAGTGTCTGTATTTTTTTAGCAGGGGGAGGAAAAGGTTTATGACACACTCATTCAGTCAGTGACAGAACTAGAAAGTTGGCCTCCTCCTAAACTTGTATGTTAATCAGACCTGACTTTCCTTTTCCATGATAAATGATTTAGAAATAAATATTGTGGTAACACAATGTGTTAAAGTGGTAGGTTTATGTGACAATGACAATTGTCCCATCTGCAAGATGCTGGGAAACCATGGAGACCCCACAGGCAATGATCCCCTCCCTCTTTCCCAGATGGCACCATCTACACACAGAAAAGCCTTAGGGATGCAGTGAATTAAATGCCAACATGTTATGCATGAGTTTGCTTGAGGAATTCCTCTGCTGTTTATCAGTAATGGCTAATTACCCAAGAAAATTCAACCTCATATCAAGCATACTCAATTTAAAAATGTTACACTAGAAAAGGGGTGTGTTATGTGCAATACAGTAGGCTTTTTTCTCTTGCCATAAAAAGGTGAGCTCATTTTGTGCTAGGAATAACCTTAACATTTCAATGTTAGATATATCAAGTTACATTAGTCCTTCAAAAAAGATTTAAAGTATGTTTAAATACACACACACTGTAATTGTCAGGTTTTTGTCTAAGACTTGATTTTAACTAGAAAAATTATGATAAAGATATTGTATCCAGATGGGCAGGAGGACTTCACCTTGAATGAGTTAAGCTCTGAAACACTATATTAGGAAAGTTTTAACATAAAAAATAAGCATCTGTAGACAGGTTATTTGAAAACTTGGTAAGAGATAGGTGAGGAGAGACTGAAACAATCACGATAGTTTGGTTTGGAGATGAAAGACAGTACAAACCTTGTTACTTATGCCTCTGAAGAAAAGGCCAGTCAGTGCCATGTTAAATACCCCCTCACAATTCAAGAACAAGTAGACGTTCAATGGATCACAAAAACAACACATTCAGTAATGATCAGGGAAATACTTTTTAAACATAATGTATAACTAAATTGTGAGACTCAGGACAACAAAGAATGATTGGATCCAAGAGCTTTACAAGGTTCAAAGAAACAGTTATACATTTAGGCTAGATACAAACATTCAAAAAGCCTGAGGCAGAATTGATCTAAGTTATGCAGTTTTTTGTAAGCAGCCTAATTTAGATCAGTAGTGAACAGAACACACATTTGCCCTTTGGGGGCCAGGGAGTGGCCCATCTTAGACCGGTTTCCACCATTTTTAAACCAGTCTGTGGACACATATACATGATTCTAATTGCACAATAGCCTAATAACACTGCGCAGTAGTGTGCTGGGCAAAAACCGTGCCAATATGCTACAGCACAGTATCATTAGGTTAACAGTAAGCATCACTAAAAACTTGTGTGTTGGTGCTACTGTTCAGTAGCATCAATTACTGTGCACTGATTTAGTACTTAGTTATCCCAGTACTAAACTTAATGTACGGTAACTATGACACATTAATGAACATATAGACATGCCCAGTGTGTGCCAAACTTCTGTTGTGAGTATAGACTAGCTTTGCGTGCTGAACTTCTGTTCTGTCATGGGTATAGATGGGTTTCCAATCACGCACACCAGTAA